GGAGTGATCCTTGCTGGGCGCTGCTATGGGTTCCCATTGCCCTGAGGATGAAGTTGAGCCTGGAATCCTTGAGGGGGCCTTCCCCGCCTGTCCCCTCGCTTCCCCGCCCCAGAATATCTTTCAGCGATGGTGGCCTCCCCTTCCTTGACTGCCTTCACCTTGGGTTAGGTTCAGGGGTCGCTCTCTGGTTTTTCGGGGACTTTTCCACCCTATGCCATAAGCCAGTCACTGTCACTGTGGTGACTGGCTTATGTCTACATCTCCTCGTCCCGCACACAGTAGGTACGTAGTAGCCTTTGTTCGAATGGTTGGATAAACACCTATCCCACAGGAGGGAGGGATTAAATTAGACCAGATTGGCACAAATGCTTTGTGAAAGGTGCCACACTGGCCAGGCGGAGACAGAACCACAGTACTGCCCCTGGCGAGAAGCAGCAGAGGGTGCCTGGGTGGGAGAGGGAGAAAGAGGCTTTCCCAGGCGGGAGGCAGGCTCTGGGGAGAGGGCTGGCTTTGTCTGCTCAGCACACTGGGGTGGGAAGCTCTGGGCAGACGGGGCCCAGCTGGCAGGAGGGGCCGGCTGGATGGGGAGGAGGTGGGATGGGTCAAGATTAGAAACTCAGGAAAGATGAGAAGCAGGAGGAGGGGAGGAGAGGGGTAGCTGGGAGGGGGAATTGGTTTAAGGGGGCTGCGGGGGCAGCAGAGGTCTGGGAGGAGTGGTCTGCAATAAATTCTGGAGGTAGGAATGGCCCAAGGGTTTAAAAGCCAGCTCCGGGTCAGTGTTCAGGAATTAGCTGTAACCACCCAGCCCGGGCCCCAGGCCTCTGTAAAATCCAGCCACATCCAACGCCTTAGGTCAGGTGCAGTGGGGACTCAGGTGAGGGTGCTGCTGCTCTGAAGGGCTGGTGACAGGCAGAAAGGGACTTGGTGTGGTGGTGGGGGCGGGTTGACAACCCAGGGGAGCAGCCAGCCCCCAGGGCTGGGATCGGACACAGAGGCTAGGAGGAGACAAAGCCATCACCCCCCTCCCCCAGAGCAGGGGCAATTGGGTGCCAAAGACTCAGTCCAGCCCCTAACTGTGTGTGTGTGTGTGTGTGTCAGGTGGGGGGTGGGGACAAAAAACAAAACTACATGAAGAGACTGACATGGAAACCCTGATTTCTGGCTTCCCAGGAAGCATCAGATGACCGAGCCTCCTGGGCTTGAGGCCCCACGTGACGGCTCTCACTGAGCTGCTGCCCCCGCAGGCAGGCGTGGGGCTCCAGGCGCCCGTGGGCCCTGCACTCACATGTGGTGCCTTCCAGCCTGATAAGGGGCAGGGCGGTGGACAACTGTATTGACCGGTGGCCCCGGGGAGCATGCATCTGTGCCCGAGACTAAGGGAGGAAATCAGTGAAGGGGATGGGAGACTAGGGGGACCCAGCATGCACCCTCAGAGCTGCCAGGGCGATCTGAGGGCATCAACCATGTCCTCTCCTCCCCCAGGACCCCAGCTTCATTCCAAACTCTCCCCGCCTCTGCCAGCAGGGTGTCAGGAGCTGGTCCAGGACCCTAGTTGGCAAGGGAGACCCTGATATCTGCAGAGCTTGTCCTTCTGATGGGAGAGGGAGCCAGAACTGGGGTTCACCCAGCCCTGCTGTCAAGTCGAGTGATCTCTAGGGCCTCAATTTGCCCATCTGTAAGACGGATGAAGTCCAGGATTGGGGCCCCCGCCTTCACCCCACAGCTGCCATGGGTGACTTTGAGGGGTGGTGGGATATGAGGGCTGGTAAAGCCTCAAGGCCATATGCTTCCTGTAGCTGTGGCCAGAGACAGTGTCTTCGATCTGTGCGGAGTGGCCGTGCCAAGGGGCTGGCCCAGAGGTTTCATCTGCACTGGCGCAGTACTGAGATGGGGGATAATTTGCAGAAAGACCCTGGGATCAGGGTCTTTGAGTCAAAGTCTGCCTGGGAACAGCCACAGAGCATCTCCGGGGGGTGTGGAGCTTGTGGTACCCTGGACTCTGCAAACCCCTGAACCTGGCTCAGACTCTCACTTCATAGACGGACAGCATGACTACAGTCAGCGAGGCTCTGGAAGCCAGGGCTTGGGGCTTCTGGTCCACCTGGATGAGTTCACCAGCTCTGTGGCCCCCCAACCCGTATGCTAAGGAGGGTGGGGACGGTTAGTCCACCCCCAGGAGGCCCAGTGGGGAGGAGGCCAGGGGAGCAGCTTAGAGGCAGGGCAGGGGGGCAGCCACTTTAGTCCTGCCTCATTTGGTCCTCGCAGGCGGGGGTTACGGGCAGAGGAACTGAGGCTTGGGAGCCACGGCACGTGCACAAAGTCGGAGTCAGCATGTGGCACAGCGGAAGCTGGAGCCGGGCCAGCTGAGCCGGAGAGAGAGCCAGCCACCAGCTTTTGCTGTCGCTGGCGCTGACCTCAGCCCTGCCCATCCCAGACACTGCTGGCTTCAAGGGGCACTTCTGCCCCCTGGTGGTGAGGCATGGGGTGCTCCCCCAAATCTGACTGGGAAAGTCCTGTGGACTGGGGAGCCCTGGGTCAGGGGCTCTGCATCCCGGGCTCCCAGACACCCAGGGAGGGGCTCGGCAGTGTGTCGGGCACAGGGAGCCATCCCATCCTTTCTCTGGGATGGACAGGGATGGTGACGCACCGGCCCCATGACGGGGTGAGGTGGGACGAGACAATTCACGCAGTCATGGGGAGCACGCCGAAGGCTAGTAACTGCTGGCTATTGTGGTCACACAGCAGACAGATTGCTGAGTTGGGGCTGCCGACATCAGGTGAGCCCATGTCACGCTCGGGGACTCCAGCATTGACTGGGATTAAGCGTGAGGAAAACCCAAACTGGGTGGGTTGCCGCATCCACCCTTCATGTCCATAGCAATTCTACAGCTCCTCCCCATCATCCCAGTTTACAGGCGAGCCAGCTGGGGACCTGAAAGGTGAAGTGACAGGTCCAAGGTCACATGGCCGGGCCAGGATTCAAACCCAGGCCGACGGGCTTCAGCGTCGGCGCCCGTGACAACCTCCCACACTAATGAGGACGGTGTGTGTCTGCCAGGGACCCAGCACAGAGCAGGCCCCGAATAAACAGCGGCTGCCATTTCTCTTCTTTAATCAACATCGTGGACAGAGGCAACACTGGCAGGGAGGTGTAGGGCGGGGAGAGCTAGGCTACCACCACCCAGGTGCCCGTCCCGTCCAGCCCCCCGTTCAGAGAATGACCCCGCCTGCCCGGTCCAGCACCACACACTGAGCTGGACACAGAGAAACAATCTGCCTGCTGGGCCGAGTCCTGGGCTGTTCGGACGGCCCCGCAAAAGACGTGTTGAAGTCCTCACCCCCCAGACCTGTGAATGTGATCTCATTCCAACACAGGATCTTTGCAGATGTCGTCAAGTTGAGATGAGACCACACCTAAATTCAATGACCGATGCCTTCACAGGAAAGCCGCATGGACATACAGAGAGAGAGGCATGAAGGGAAGGCCGGCCGTGCTGTGCCGAGAGGGGCAGAGATGGGGGGGACGCAGCCACAAGCCAAGGATCGCCAGCAGTCGCCGGAAGCTGGAAGAGACAGGAAGGATTCCTGGCCCTGCTGACATCTTGATTTGAGACTTCCAGCCCCCAGAACCACGAGGAACAAATTTCTGCTGCGAGCCACCCAGTTCGCAGCCCGAATCCCCGGGCACGTCATCCCTCCTCAAACAGGGCCGGCTCTCCCCAGGCTTGGGCTTTGACCCACACGTCCAGATGGGGCAAGGTCCAGCCTCAGTGGCCTGCAAACTGGACACACCCTCGTTCCCCTGCTCCAGCCTTCTCCAATAGGAACGCATGGACCCCGGGAGATGGGGAGGGAGCAGGCGACTTCTGCTGAAGGCATGGCAGCCCTGGCCTCTGAGCTGAGCGTGCAGCGCTGCGCCCACAGGGCCCGGGGCTGCAAATGCAGGTCCTGCCCTGAACATCGGCAGCAGCCCTGTGAGGCAGGCCCCACGGTCACCCCCACTGCACAGACATGTAGACTGAGGCCACACGGGGCAGAGCTGGACAGACTCGGCTTGACTTCCATCCAGCTTTGTATTCTCCACAAGGCACCTTCTTGGCCAGCAGCCTTTTCTTAGAAGAATCCTTGGAAGGAAGGACTACTTACTACTCCAGATATCAGAACATACTCGGATAAGGAAAAGCCCCAGGAGGGGAGCCCGAGGTAACGGGGAGGGCTTGGCGGGGACCCGGGGCCTAAGGAAGTGCTTCTTCACTCACTCACCACCTCACTACTCTCCCGAGTGGCCTGCGAGGCAGGGATTCCTCATCCGGCCAGACTCAGAGCCAGCCCGGTAAGGACACGGAGGTATGACAACTCGGCCAGCTTTGTTGACTTTATAAATATTGCCCCAGTTGCCCAGTGGGGAGGTGATGTCAGGTCATTGCTCATGGTGAAAGGTGCCCACCCAGGGGGGCGTTCCACTCGCCCCCAGCCCCCCCCACCCCACTTCTGCAGAAACGCGCTTTGGAGCCCACGAAGGGAGGGTCTGAAGGAAGGAAAAACTACTGCTGAGGTTCTCTAGACAGGAAGGGGGGCCCCTGTCTGCACGGGGCATGACGGGACCCCTAGCGAGAACCTATCCCAGCTGGCCTGGCCCACATGGCCCCACCAAGGCGGATGCTGAGGTCCTAGATCCTCATGGCACAGGCTGGTGAGGGGCAGGGCGAGTGGATGCTGGGGTCCCATTCCAGGTGGGCTGTGGACTGAGTGCCTTCACCTGGAGGAGTCTGGGGCTTCGCCACCCGAAGCCCGGGCTGCTGCTGCTGCTCTGTCGTCCTGTCCTCCCAGCCCAGCGGGGCCAGCAAGCACGCGTCCTACCCCTCCACTGCTGCCCCCTCCCCAGACGGGCCTCCCAGCCTGAGCCCGCAGCAGGCTGGACTGCACCTTGCTGCCAGCAGTCACTCGGCCCCCCGCGTGGGACCCGCACCGCCTGCTCCGAAGCTTCAGGCGAGGCCCCCTCTGCCTGCAGGACGAACTCCCAGCTTGCGAGCCGAGTGTCCAAGACCCTCTGCAGTCTGGGCACAGACTTCCGTTCCTTCCGCTTCTGCTTCGTCTCCCACTCAGCCCCTCCGGGCCCCTTCCTTCCCCTCCCCCACGAGCAGAAGACAAAGCTGCGGCTTGTTCTCTAGACTCGCAGCCTGCTCCCCACTCCGGGCCTCTACCCAGGCTCTGCCCTCCGCCCCAGCCACCTTCCTCCCCTCCCTCCAACCGCAAGAGGCGGGAGGGTCGTGATCAGGGCCTGGGCCGTGGAGCAGACCGCCAGGGTCGGACTGTGGCTTCCACAGTTCGGAGCTGACCACTTAGGCTGCTGAACTGTTTAACTGTGCCTCAGTTTCCTCATCTGCAAAATGAAAATATGGAGGAGGAAGAAACTGCCCTCTACCCTCCCGGTTCCTGTCCCTGGTCTAATCGTCAAATAGCCATGAGACAGAGAAGCAAGAGAAAATAACCCGGGTTCTACTCACACGCGTATGGGAACCTCGCGTAGAGGAGGGACCCCGCGGGCACCAGAGGTTCAGAGACAGAGAAGGAACACGGCGTATAAGACGCCTGAGCTGGGGATGAAGCGAGGCGCCTGGGGGCTTTAGAGGGTCATCACAGGAGAAAAACACTCATTCAGTAATTCGTAGTTTGCCCTGCCATACAGGTGGGTCAAAAAAAAGGTAACCTCTGATAATCTCTTGTTATGAGCGAGACTTCAAATTCTTCTAGGTAGGTAGGGGGGAAGGGCACATCCGAGGCACGTCTTGGGGTGACTCGTTCTGAACCCCCACAGTCATGACGCTTTCCCGTCTACTGACCCCAAGGCTGTACATGTGTTCATGGGTATGAAATGCTGAGAAGGGGCCTGGCACGTGCGCGGCCATTGTCACCAGCTGGCCCCACTCGGCGCCGGGCTTCCCGGGGGTCCCAGGCCCCCATCCCCGCGCTGCGGTGCTCCCTCCTCTTGACAGCAACTCGGCCGACAATCCCAGGTCATCCTCCATCTGCCTTACGTTAGGATGTCAGGGCTGGGCCCGCCTCCCCCATCAGACTGGGTGCTCCCGCCCCAGGGACCGTGACAACGACAAGCATCTTGACCTAACTCTCTTCGAGCTCCCCGAAGTCCCCTGCTGGAGGAGGCCTGACCTTGGGCTTCCTCCTTCCTCCTCGTAGAATCCAGATTGAGCAAGAATCTTGCTGGATCAGTCTAGACAAACTCCCCACCCCTGGTCTCCTATCCCCTGGCCCGCCTACAGCGAGAATTCTGTAGCATTGATCTCGTGAGACTCCCCCAAGCCCGGACGTTTCCTCTTAGTACTTTCCTACCCACGAGCCCTGCTGCCCCTTGGCCGTGACTCCCCATGGTCCTTGTTGGAGTCGAGTCCAGTCTCCGTCCCGCTCTGAACGACCTCCTTCATGATCCAGAAATACGAGAGGCTCCTTTGGCCACAAGACCCGATTTCACTTGCGGTGAGGTCATTTAGAGACTCGGTCCACTCTACTTGGTGTAGATTGTGCCAGAACTGTCTACCAGCCTGATTAACCAGATGTCAGGTAGGTGTGACAGACCGCATTATCTTACAAAGATCCAACAGGAATTCCCAAGTCACGCCTGGCCTTGAGGGACAGGGAAGGAGGATCCCGCTGTGACGGGGAGGGGGGATCCACTCAGATGGGAAGAGGAGTCACTGAGCTGGCAGGTGGCCGAGCTGGATTCCCCTGGACTTCCAGATGGCCTGCAGTTTAGCAGGGGAACTAGAGATAGGAACGTAGCAGGCTCTGCAGGTGCTGCTGGCCAAGGAGCCGTCATCCACGGGGAGAGTCATGATTAGTTTGCACTGACCACTTAGAGGCGGACGATTTAGAGAACTGCACGGGGGAAAAGCTCCTTCCGACATATTTTCTAGAAACGCCAGGAAGAAACATTACAAAGATCTTCCAAAAGCATAACTGAGCTTGTAAGGAAGTGAGGAAAGTCACCAGGGGCCAGACTTACTATTAATATTATTACTAAGATAATGTTATCACTATAGTTATAACAGAGGTAATGTTGATTGTATGAAGGCCAGTATAATGCCTGAAATGTGCAATAATACAGACAGAGTGACATTCTCAGTGCCTTAATATACCAGGCCCTCTGTCCCTTGCAGCTGTGGCTCTGTAATCTAACTGACAGCAACTTCGCAGGGCGATCCGATCACACATTCCCAACTGGGCAGGTCATGGGTAGTCTCGGAACGGTTTTCTTTGCCTTAAGCAAGCCCTGTCCATCGTTTCTGCATCTAAGTTAACATACCTTTGAAACGCCTCTTTTCTCGACCCCTAGACGACTCGACCACTCTCAAGAGAGCACACACTCTTCTAAACTATCCTGGACCTGACTGTGTCCCACCTTCTTGTCATCTTCCTTGCGTCCCCTCCTTGATTCCAAATGTATCAAAGAAACTGTAAATCCATCCCTCTCGGGAGCATGAGACCTTGCTCCCCAGCACAGTCGTCAGTGTAACTCGAATAAACTCTTACAAATGTTCTCGACAGGTTTGGCTGTTTCTTACGTTGACACAGAAATCCCCATTTCACAGACGAAGAAACGGAGCACGTCCCGTGCTGGCGGAGCTGGGGTTCAAGCCCAGGCCGTCTGGCTCCAGAGTCTATATTCTTAAGGATCTCACTCTACGAATGGTATTCTAAGTAGTATAATAGTTGTCGCGGGAAAACGTGAGAGCTGAAAGCTTGGCAGTAAGAAGGAGCGGCAGCCTTGGAGGGTAGGGAGAGGGGTGTCGAGACAGAGAGGAGAAACCCAGCAGCCTGGAGATGAGACCCTGAGCAAGCAAGACGGAAGGGAGGATGCAACTGAGCTCTTCACACGAAGCCGGGGTCTTGAGGGGCTGCACCCCTAGTAATGGGTGGCCGAGAGGAAGATCTGCCCGCTGCCAAAGACAGATGACATGAAGACTTGCCTGTGTCCACCTGCGTTTGGGACTCAGGTGGAAAAAGCGTGCAAGTCTCCTTGGGGTCCCCAGCACATGGGGTTTGGTTGGAGCGTACATGACCTTCTTGATGGAAAAAGCCTAAGTAACAACATAAAAGTGGTCCCAGTCTGGGGGCGGGGAGCGGGGCAGGGGGAGGCAGGCCCACAAGCCAGGCCTCCTGGGTCCCCACAGAAAAAGCCCGGCTGGAAATAAACTCAAAGTCTCAAACTACACACCACACGAGGAAACAGGCCACCGTGAGAGAGCGGGGGCAAAGGCCACAAATGTCAGGATGAAATCCCCAAGAGCTTCTGCCAAGAAACGACTGGAATGAGGCTGCAAAATGAATTTGCTTGACGTCGTCGAAGACAGGAAAGAAAACGAGACTAGAACAAGACGTGAGGACGGAAAAGGTGTTCCATGGGAAGGAACCTTGCAGGGCGGTCCGATCATAAATTCCTAACTCGGCAGGTCACGGCCAGCGGCCCCGCCCCAGGCCTAGACCTTCTGTAGTAAAAGGCTTGGCTTCGCCCTGAGCAAGCCCTGTCCGTCCTTTCTGCAGGTAGCTTACGGCCTCTTTGAAATGCCGCTTTTCAGATCCCTCCTGCTAAAGGTGACGACCCTCCAGGGAGCACGAAATCTCCTTGACCCTCCTGTAATCCCGACCCCGCCTGAATGCCACCTGCAGAAAAGCAGCTGCAAGCCATCATTTCTAGGAAGCATGCTTTTCAGTCTGTTGAGATCGTGCCTCCGTTTCACACAAAGTTTTATGAAAATTCTCTACGGGTTTGGACATTCTCACATCGATAGATGTCAAAAAGCCAGATGCCTATTAGGAAGCCAGTGTCCGGGGCGTAGGTTGTGGTGGCACCAGCTTACTGGGGACCTACGGAGGTGTGAGGGGGGACGGGAGCAGGGAGGAGGGAGTGTCTGCAGTCTTGTAAGAGTTTATTCGAGTTACACTGACTTCCCCGTCCTCCCTTGGTGTCCCCCAGTCTGTGTAAAAGTCCAACTCAAGGGCCTGGGTGTGTCTGGGAGGGTGCTAGGCACGGAAGTCCACTCCTGTCCCACACCTGGCCCTGCACGGAACAGACGCACTTCGTGATAAACTGGAACTTTCTGCTGCTCCACGCCTGACAAAAGCCCAGCTGGAGTCATACTCATGAGCACGGTCCAGGAGATACGCAGTTCCCCTCGGCCCTGGACCACAGCCCGAAAAGCTGGGGGCCCGGGGGCCCTGGAGTTTTTCAGGATCTGGGAACCTCTGATAGTGTCGGCATGTGAGCATGCCTTTGCTCGGGGAGAGGAGTATGGCTTTCAGGGGCTTCTCTGCGAGGGGCTGGGGGTAAAGCTGAGGAGTGGGCACCGCTGGACCGTCTGTGTGGAGCATCTGTGGTACCCAAACATTTGGCGTGGAGGACAGAAAGCAGGTTTAATTACTCTTGTAGTTAAACCCGCATGGCTCTAGTACAGAGCGAGGTGAACTCATGGATTTTGCAGGTAACACGTGAAACTTCAGTCATCTCGCTGGGCCCCGCCTGTAGATCCCTGAGGACACCCCCTCCTGTTCCCGGCAGTCAGGAGAGCCTGAGGACTCTGCTCCAGACCCTGGGTCCTTGGATCAAGCCGGACCACAGGAGCACTGAGGACGCCACTCAGCACATCGCACGGGGACCCTTTATGAGGGCTCCTAGGGGGACCGTCCCTTGGGCCTGACAACGGGGAAAAGCTGTGTTTTCATCTCCTGGGCATGATGAATCTAGTGAG